CACTTTTGGCGACTAAAATATATTTAGTCGCCAAAAGTCCTATAAATGGCAACCAATGTTTTAGTAGGCAAAAGTAAAAGCTATTGGCGACAAAATAAGCTTTTGTCGCTAATGAGGCAAATTGGCGACTAATCTGTTAGTCGTCCAAAGGCTACTAATTTAATTTAAACTACATTTTCAGCTACTAAAATTTTTTGTCGCCAAAAATTCAAGTATTTAAAGCGACCAAAGTTTTAGTTGCCAATAGTTTTTCTTGTGCATCTACATTTTTTTAGCTACTAAATGTTTAGTTGCCAAAAATTCGATTTCTTGTTTGGCTACTACACCGGCTAGTCGGCCAAAATCTAATTTTTTTTAGCTGCCAAAGGTTTTGTCGCTGATAATATAATTGTTATGTTTTGGCAACCAAATATTTAGTCGCTAAAAGTGTTTTTCTTTTTTTCGCTACTAATTATTTAGTCACTAAAATTATTTAACTCCATTTTTGACTACCAATTGTTTTGTCACCAACAATATCATTTTATTTTATTTTTTAATTTTAATTAATTTTTCCATAACCTATATGTATCCACCGCAATCTGTAATAGATATACAAACAAAACAATATGAGTATATTTTCACCCATTTCATAACACATATTTCACTTACAACCATCAAACAAAAAAGAATACCTTTTAATATAAACTTATATACAAACCAACTATATATATTCCAATTAGAAATAATGTCATACACAACAAATAAGCATACCAAAACAATGTCCTCCGTACACAAAAAATATTTTTAATACTATGTATTGTAATGACCATTTGGCATGGTACAAATTACCATGGTAATATGTACTACGACAAAAGATAATCTATATATCATGGTAATAAATACAAGTTCCATGTCAAAAGTATTATGTATCCCGCCAAAAATTATATGTACGATTCATCCAAATTCCGCACAAAAGGCAGAGGACGAAAAAAAACTTCCCAACTGTTCAAAAGTGTAAATTATCCTCCGTACAAAAAATGAAAGATCCACATGTCAATGCCAAAAGCCATCTACAAAACAAAAATTACACCCATTAGTTCCACATAGCATTTTAACATAAGACCATGCAAAAAAGAATTGAAAGTGAATTAATACATTACACGATTAAAAAATTAGACTACACTTTGTGACTCTTGTCATCCTTTGTACCTAAATTCTTCCATTTCCTAAATTCTTCCACATCCCAAAAATAACATTTTGGAGAGGAAGCTTTTATCTTACTTTGTATGCAAGGATTTCAGAATTGGTTAAGTTAGGGGGTTAGCAATCCAATGCTAGAGCCAAAGTGATCTACTCCTACTACCATACTGCAACAAAAACTTGTTAACAAAGATAAAATTCTTACATGGTTCTGTTGGTTTTTCCTCTCTTCACTTGAGAAACCAGGAATGGTCAAATGCGAGTTTTTCTCTGCAAATGATTTCATTCAATTAGATCAAGGTTAACTGTCTAAATGTAAACAAAAATAGGAAAAAAGATATTTCACGCCATTGAATGTGGTGCATATCATCGTTATGCCCAATAGGTAATGCAGCTACACACCCTGGCATTGTAAATCAACAAAAGAAAACTACAACCATGGAAGAAAAAAAAGGAAAAAAAAAAGAAGAAAAATAAAGAAAAAGGGTACCTGGTGGAGTCCCGCAGCACATATTGCGGTCACCAATGTGCTCTACTTCAAGACCAATAAACCATGAACCAAGTGACATGTCTTCATTAGCTTCACTGATAACCATCGCATCCATACTGCACAAAGAGAATCGGGTAATTATATGACAAAATAGATCATGCAAGTAGAAGAAAAGCATGCTCTCATTATAGTTAATATGTTTCTCATCAAATCATCAAATACATTTATATCACTTCCGGTGCTGCAAGTATCTAGAGACAAGCAGGGGAGGCAGTTTAAAAGTTACAATTTCACAACAATTACAAGATTTTTTTAAATTAAGACCCATGTCACTTTGGTCCTCAAAATCTCAATTTTGGCAAACAAAAATACGAAAAAGAACCACCAAATCTTTACCCATAAATTTTCAGGGAATAAAAGCTGGTTAAGTATTAAAACGGGCAGCCTGATTATCACATTTCAATCAGGACATGCACCATAATTCACATTGGTCTGACATGCCACTAAATATTTAATAAAATCTTAGAATAGATATTTCCCCAAAAAATCACTTTTATCAACACCCATTAAATGTGATTGTACAAATGAGAATCTGCATAATTGTGCTGAGGCAGGAACAATACTAATTGGAGTTCATTTTTTACAATGAAACATGCTGTGTTACTCTTCTTTTTTAATTGAAAATTCCCTGAAATTCTTATTATTACAATTTAAAATGAAGCAGTTCCATAAACCATGATAACAATGATATCGAAAGAAGCATATGCATATGAATGAGTCACTTACACTTTGGCTCGGGAAACAAAAGCCAGTAGGAATTTGCAATTTCCTTCCTCCCGAATGTGGAGGAACTGTTGCACAGTATCAAAAAGCAATGGGATGCTAGACTGTTGAAAGCTTACAAGTTGTAAAGGCTTTCTTTTCTCACTTTTCTTCTCAGGTTTTAATATTTTCAAAATAAGAAAGCAAAAGTTCCAACATATATGAGCTACTAGCATCTAACATTTGGACCCAGTACCAGCACTTCAAAACAAATGTTTGAAGTTTCAATAATACCAAATATTGCACTTACTTAAGATCAAACACATGCTAGGAATGCAAATGGCATGGTCACAAAATGATCCAATTTAATTTTCTCAAAAGATATAAACACAATCTAGTCTTGTAACTGAAGTCGTTTCCATAAACCACATAAATAACAACTGGCATCATTGATTACAAATAGTAGTAATAGTAGTAAGCCCTAGCAGCAACAGCAACAGTGGCACTAACAGTAGTACTATAAGAAAAGCTTTATTCTTAAGGTTGTTTTGTTGTTTTCAATTTCAAACACAATTAAAAATGTTTCAATAACCTTGAATATAAATAATTATTAATAACACTAATAGTTGAATCTACATGATTAAATACCGTAGGCATATTAGACATGTGTGCTTTCATGTGTATTTAGATGTATGTATTGTATGTTCATAGGCTTATATTACTTGAAACCTGAAGGATGAAATATGAAAATTAGGATATAAATATCAGCACCAAGAACCAGATCAAATCCACCTGGATGCCTTTTCAAAATTTGGTCGAGCTGATCAGAATTTCCCCATTTCACTTCTCCACCATTAGACCTGCACGAAAAAGGTCAAAAACAGGATATCAACTTATCCAAACATAAATGTATAGTTTTCAGCATGGTTACTTACCAGCAGAACCATTAGAATTGTCAGCAGACGAGTGGAGATCTATATTTTTATTCAGGATCTAAGAATGGACAAATTATGTAATTAATTTATAAAAAAAAAAAAAAAGTAACAATATGAGAAGATTAGATACAGAACTCATCCAATTTTTTTTAAAAAAAAAATGAAATTTAATTTGGTGACCTTGCCTTGAGGACTTCCTCATTATGGTCTGTTAATATGACTTCACAGCAAAATCTGCTGCAGAGAATTCCAGTAACACCTGCACTTTGGGGCGCAGCATTTAGTCTATATCATTTTATTTTATTTTTTGATAAATCATTTAGTCTATATCATTAAGGTCTTAAATGAAAAAATTCTATGAAAATATATCAAATTACGCATGCACTACTACATCAAAGGGAATAACGTGGGCTAACCATAATAAATGACTTGTGAATAAACAAAGGAAGACAAAAATTCCCATAATATGAAAAAACTAAAAACTACAAGTCTAATAACAAGTCATAGCCTTGCACTTTTTGCCCTCTATGCCTTTAAATTAGGAAATAATGACCAATGGACCATAATAAAGACATTCCACAAAAACTTTTTCTAAGTCCACAAACTCTTAAACACCTACACATCTTGTAAAGAAGCTAATATTATCCAAGAATACTAAAAGCATCAAAGAATGAATGGAACCTTAGAATTGAAAGGTGGTCAACTACTCCACACTCCCAAGACATATGGAGCATCGACTATGAAAACCAGCCTTCTGTAATTTCATCATTTTACTGATCCAGAATAAGATACTATGTTATGGAGCTGTCCATATGATCACACACAAACTTCAAGGGAACAAAGAAGCCCAAAACTCCTTGACAGAGGAAGAAACAATTCACCATTGAATAGAGGACAGTGATTGAAGAATAATTAGGGCCTTGAGCACATGGAAATACATACACAATGAGTCAGATTAGGGCTTTGAGCCTAATGAGAGAGAAAGGAAAAGAGGGGAAAGGTATCAAACCACTTAAATCAAACCTATTTACCACATCAAACCCATAAAACCCTAGAAATCAAACCACTTAAACCAAACCCATTTCAGAAATCAGCACGAAATTAGACTTGGTAAATCATGTAAAACCCTAAAGCAAGAGTGAAAAATGGGAAAATAGAGGAAGGGAGAGAGAGACAGAGACAGAGAGAGAGAGCGAGCGAGCGAGCGAGAGAGAGACAGAGACCGAAAGCGAGAGCGACAGAGAGCGAGCGAGTAAGAGCGAGAGAGAGAGAGAGCAAAATAGAGAGTGAAGAAAGAGAAAGAACCAGTTCGTATTGCGGCGGTGGCCGTGGTGATTTGCGGCGGCGGTGATGTGCGACGGACGTGAGTAACGGTGGTGAGGGACTTCGGTGAAGTGAGAAGGTGAGGTTCTATATGTGAGAGAGAGACAGAGGAAAGGGAATCAAACCTTTTAGGAGCCTAAAAGGTTTTTTAGCGTCTAAATCTTATAAATCTTTTAGCGTCTAAAAGGTTTTTTAGTCGCCATAAGTTGACTATTTGGCGATTAATTGGTCTTTTGTCGGAAAAAATTCACTATACCGCGACTAAATATTTTTTAGTCGCCAAACTGCATATTTGCCAACCAAATTCTTTAGTCACCAAAGAGTAATAGTGCAAATGTTGCTCTTATTTGGCGACTAAATTTATTTTAGTCACCAAAAATTAGTATACTACAATTAAAAAAAAATTTAGTAACTGAAAAACTAGAGTAACGGTGACTAATAATGTTTTTAGTCGCCTATTGTGAAAAATTTACCGACTAATGTTTTTTTTAGTTGCCAATAAATAGTATATGTCGACTAAAATATTTTAGTAGCAAAAACTTGAACCAACGGCGACCAAAATAATTTTTAGTAGCAAAAAATTGAACTTTTGGCGACTAAATCCCTTTTAGTCGCCAAATTTGGTCGCCAAAAGTGTAAATTGTTATAGTGAGTTTAAAGAAAAAAAATTGCCTAGAGTAACGATGTCATATTAATAAAAAGGGAAAATTAGTCTAAGATCCCTTGGGTAGGGCTTCATCTGAAGGGTTCAACTCATTTCTTGGGCAGGGCTTCATCTGAAGGGTTCAACTCATTTCTTTCGATGTTTAGAGACGTGCGAGATCAAGGCGGCTAAGCTTATCCAAATCTAGCCAAGTAGGAAAATCATACAACACAAAATGCTCACTAAGGGTTAGAATGTTGGTTGGTCCTTGTATTTTTTGAATGTCTAATTCTAATGTCATTGTAAAGGGTTTTGTAGAAATATTAGTTTATACATAAATAGTTGCATAAACTGGATATGGAACAATGGTCAACAACAACAGTATTGTTAATAAACCGAAGTTGAAATAAGAAAAGGAAAAGGAAAAAATTTTCTCTAATTTAAACTCAGAGAAATTTCAATTTTCTCTGGTTTGAATCCAAAGAAATTTGGTGTTGGTGATATGTAAAATTTTTTATGTGATGTGCCCAGAGAAACTTGCTATTAGAGATGTGTAAAATTTCTCTATGATGTGTCCAAAGAAATTTGGTGTGGGTGATGTGTAAAATTTTCTCTGTGATGTGTCCAGAGAAATTTGGTGTCGGTGATGTGTAATTTTTCTCTATGATGGCCCCGTTTGGGACAACTTATAAGCAGCTTAAATAAGCTTTTGGCTTAAAATAAGTCATTTTGGAGTGTTTGGTTGAGCTTATGAGAGATAGATTATAGCTTAAATTAATTGATTTTGAGCTAAAAGTTGTAAGCTGCCTCAGAGATGGTTTTTTTTTTTAGCTTATGCACGCAGCTGGTTATAGAAAGGTAAAATGACTTAAATGCCTCTCCAAAAATTCAAAAATTACCAAAATGCCACTATATAAACTTGACATTCAATCACTGTTCATGTCCAGAGAGAGACAGAGACCCTGAGAGGTGATTTCCAGCGTCTAAGAGGCGATTTCCGACGACTATTTCCGGTTATCTCTCTCTCTCTCTCTCTCTCTCTCTATTTCTGACTATTTTCGGCGACATTTAAACGTTGTTCTCTCTCTATCTCTCTCTCTCTCTCTCTCTCTCTCTCTCCAGCGTTGGTTCGTCGCTATCAAGACCTGTCTCTCTTTCGCCATCGCGATCTGTCTCTGAACCATCGCCATCGTGGTCTGTCTCTGAACCATCGTAATCGCGATTTGTCTCTGAACCATCTCTCTCTCTCTCTCTCTCTCTTTCTCTCTTTCTCTCTCGCGTGTGTTGTCTTGTTGTTGGTCTATCTCTCTCTCTCTCTCTGTGTATGTGCCTCCGTCGTTGTCCCTATCCCCCTTCGCGATCAGCCGTGCAAGGCGATCTCAAACCCTAGTGTCGGTTCATCGTTGCGCGGCCTGAGGAAGCTAGGGTTTCAGATTTTGTGTGTGTGTGTGTGTGTGGAGGTTTTAAGTATTTTTTTTAATCAAAATAATAATAATAATAATAATTAAGCATTTTAGCTATGAATGAAATAAATTTTATATTAATTGAAAAAATGAAAATAAGCCATTAATTGACACTAATTAATTAATTGAAAAAATGAAATGATTTTATACTAATTGATTTATAATGAAAAAATGGAAATAACAATCTATATGAAAAAATGAAAGTAAGCCATTTATTGACACTAATTAATTAATTGAAAAAATGAAATAATTTTATACTAATTGATTTATAATGAAAAAATGAAAAAAATTTATACTAATTGGTACTATTAATAATTTTAGTATTA